TCCGCCTGGCGCTCCCGCCCCTCGCCGCCTCCGCCCGCGAGCCGGGCCCGCCGCCTGTTGCTGTCGCTGCCACCGCCGCGAGGATCCGTCTGGGTCTGGCGCGCTCCGCGCGGCTCCTCACAAGAGGCGCCGCCTCCGCCTCCTCCGCCCCCGCAGCCGCAGGGCGCGCGCCCGCCCCTCCGCGTCCCCTCAGCTTTTTCCCGCCCACCGCGCGGCCGCGCGCCCGCTCCCCCCGGGAGCCGCCCAGCCCTGCCCCTGGCCTCCGCCCTCGTCGCCCCTCTGGGTCACGCGAGCGCCCTGGTTTTCCGTCTCGGCGCCCCCCCAGAACGTCTCGGCGGCCTTCGGGGAGTCGGCAGGCTGCTGGTCAGCGCCCCCCGCCCCCCGGCCCGCGAGGCGGCGGCCCAGTCGCGGGGCTGCCCGGCCGGCCCTGGGCCACACCACGGCCCGCGCGCCCCGCGCCCTCGTCAGGCGCCCCCACCTGGGTCCGCCCGCGGCGCCGAGGCGGCAGGGGGGCAGGCAGCGGGGAGGGAGCGTGCGGCTGTGCTGCGGGCCCAGAGGGCTGCCTGGGCAGGGGGCGCAGACCCGGCGGGCGCCCTGGGGGAGAGGCCAGCCTGTGCCACCATCCTGAGCCCGCCTGAGGGTAGGCGACTGCCGGGCCGGGAGGGCTCTAGATAGTTTAGCTCCTGTTTGGATGAGAAGCCGCACGGAGGAATGGGTGCTGATGAGTTTCGCATCCGGAATCTGAAGAAAATGGGTCATTAAAGGCGTTCAGGGACTTCGCTTCTGTAGCGAATAGTTAGTTCCTCTGACTTTCGTAGCTGAGATTTCAACCGTTGAGAAGAACCAAGGACCAAGTTTCTGGTTGAGATTGGCGAGGGCAGCCTGCTCTTTTCAGTACAGTGAGGTTTCTTGTCGGCGGGAAAATGAGAGAAAACGAAAAGGGAAATTCACACCTCGAGTACCGTGGGTGGGACGGGAGTGAGACCTGGACCTGGTCCCTCCACCTGATCTGCTGCCGCTGGCCTGGTGGGAGGGAGCAGGCCATGCTCTGGTAGCTAAAGGGGGAGAACGTTCCTTCCGAAACGTGTCTCTCTGTTGCTTGATTTCGGCCTGGAGAAGATAACTTACATTTATCCTCTTTGAACCTAAACTATTTCTCCAAATGGTTGTGGTCACTTTGAACACAATTTCTGTTTCCAGACATTTTAGCAACTCCAATTTAGAGTCAACCTAGGCTTAAAAATGTGTTTTCTATTGTATCATTCAAAGCATTTACAAAAGAGAAACCGTCGTCTAGACAACTCCCTCACCCATCATAACTTAGCTGACAATTCTACTTGAAGTAAGGTGATCCGTGGTCATTGCTTCCCACCACCACTCCCAGCCGTGAGGTTTGCTAGGGCAGAGATGGGGTCTTACCCAATTTATATTCCTAGCAACTATCAAAGTGCCTGATACATAGTAGGAATTCAGTATATGTTTGATGAATTGAAGTCCCCGATAAGTAATTCTTTGCATATCTATCTGCTCTGGAGTGTCAACATTTCTTCTCTATGAGTCCAGGACCACTGGGATTCCTGGGATGAGGAGTGAGGGGAAACTGAGTTCACAGTCAGTCCACTACTCAGTAATTCCATATAGTTTCCACTCTGCCTCTTCTGGGTTCAACAAGCACGCATGTTCTTTAGGGTCCTTTTATCTTCCACTTCACCTCCAGGTCAGTGCCAGGCACTGCAGGCAGTAACATATGTTGTAAGGTGGTAAAAGTGGACAGCCCTGTAAAACACTCTCTCACAAAAGTAGAACACTGCTTTTGAGCTGGTGATTAGGGTAGCAGTATAATCAATCATTCATATACTTAAAGCTAAGAATAAGACACGTCTGGCCGCAAGGATGGCTCGTAGAAAGGCAAAGACCCTATTTTTAAAGACCAAATGTTTCATGCACTTCTATGTCTGACTTAGAAAGTGATTTATTTCTCCATTTGCAGGAATTAGTACTAAAATTAATATTAATCAATGGCAAGGAAGACCAGAACAGGGGATGGTCCTGTGATGGATGGTCCTAAGCTTCTCCCTGCTGTGAAGTATCTCTTCTTCAGAAATGACTATTTCCTTTCCTTTCATGTATTGCCTTGTCTAGAAGTCTGATTATAAGCTGCTTTGGACAGCCCTTACTTTATATTTGAGGTCCAGAGAAGTTTAGCAATTTGTTCAAGCTCACACAGCTAGTTAGTGGCAGAGCTGGGCCTAAAACCTTGGACCATTTCCAAATTCAGTGTTTGCTCTACCGTATCACACTGTGAAACTCTTATGTTGATCACTGTGAGTGCTTAATAAATACTAGATTTCCAACAGCAGCCTATTTGCTTTTGATTGCCGACTAGTTCACTTCAATTCATATTTATTTTGACTGAAAACCACTGCCTTCTGATGGCTAGTCTATTGTTTATAGGAAACGAGTTGGTGGGCAAATTCCAGCCCTGTTGGACAGCAGAACCCATCACAAGAAATCAGTGTCAAAAATGGCACTTCAGGAGGAACACATACCATTTATTTAGTACCCCCAGTGGAGTAGCTCAAAGTGATTTGAAAATGTCTCATTAATCCTCATGACACCCTGTGGGATAATAATAATATTATTATAATGTTTAAGCATAGGACTGTGGCAAAGCCAACAGCTTCTGCGAGCATGTGCAGAATTCCTCATATTTCTCTCTTCCATATTAGAGCCCAAGTAAAACCATCAGATTTGCAAATGGCAAGGGTAAAGCTTGGTGTTTGGGCTTTCTGTGTTGCTCTGGGCATACTTGAGTCTCTTACTGATCACAGCAGTACCAGAAATAGCTCACCAGTGGTTTACCAGATGGTTAGCAGCCTCTGAAATTAACCCAGAAGCGTTTGAGAGTGGGACAGGGCAGGCCTAGAGAGTACCACTAATTACAATCACAGACAAATGAGTGGAGAAAGAATACCTACTATGTGCAAGTCTCGGTCGTAGGCACTGTAGGAGTATGAAGTTTGAACAGAGACCTTGCCCTCAGTAGACTTACAAGCAGTTGGGAAGATAGGCTATAAATCCATGAAAATCTTTACAATGGTATTAGTTAACAATATAGACAGTAAATAGTACCAGAAATGTCATAAGATATCCTGTGACTGGTCTAATCTAGCCAAGCTGTCTGCCTGGCTGTTTCTCAATCATACCAAGCTGGTTCCTCCCTCAGTGTCATCATACTTGCTCTTTCCTCTGCCTGAGACACCCTTCCTCCAGATTTTCACACGGCTCTCTCTATCACTTTAGCTCTCTGTTTAAAATATCCTTTCATCAGAGATGCCTTCCCTCACTACAACCCCTGATTTCAAAGAGTTCCCCTTCCACTCCTCCCTTGGCAACTTTCTAACCTCTTACCTGCTTTATTTTTCCTTATTGCGTTTATTTACTTGAAATTATATTTTATGTTTATTTGGTTACTTCCTTATGGACTGTCTCTTGCACTAAAACATAAACTTGCCAGTAGCAGGGTTTTGACTTTTTTTACTTCTGTATCCCCTAAATCTAGAACAGTAGCTGGCACATAATAGATGATTAATTAACGTATGTTGAACGGAGGAAGGAAAAGGTGCAGAGTGAACACACAGGCATAGTAAGGCACAGTGAGTGAACCAGTTTTGCTGGTGTAGAGGGGTTGTTTGGAGAAGTATCTGTACAGTTCTGGTTCTGTTTCACAGAACAGTTGGGCTGTGCAGATATGCAAGGATTATTTTTTTAAAGTGCCACTTCCTCCCTTTTTCTCTGCTTTCCTTTCTCCCTACCATCCTGGGTGGGTCTATCCTGCGCTCCAGAATTATGCTTTAAGCTGCCCACTTGGATATTCTTCCTGCAGATACTCCAAACTTAATATTTATAACCCTGAACTCATTGTCTTTCTCTCCAAACTTGCTTCTCTTCCTGTTTTTCTTATTTTCCTTATTTTCTTATTTCTTGCTAGAATACAAAGTCATCCCTGAATCATTCTTGTGTCCCCCACATCCAGTCAGTCACTAAGTGCTTTCTATTCTCCCTCAAGTCCCTCTCAGTTCTGTCCTGACCACTCCCATTCTCACTGCCACTGTCCCAGTTCAGGCTGCCCTGCTCGTTTCATAACAGGCTGCCTGCTTTCAATCTCTCTTTTATGTATTTCATCCTTCAGGAAGTAGCTGAGTTATTTTTGTAAAACATAGATTGGCTCACATTGCTGTCTAGTGCTACCATGATGGTTGAACCCTGGTCCTTCTGGCAGCATCTTCTGTGTTCTTTCCATACCACTTGCTCATTCCTAGACATACCACCCGCTTACATGCTGCCAACCCTTTGCTCAGGCTAGCTGCTCATGCTATAGCTCACTGGACACTCCTGCCACCTTTTTCCCACTGGTGAATTCAATCTTCAAGGCCAGCTTAGCAGTCACCTCTTTTGAGACCCCTGCCCTCTCTGTCAGCCGTGATTACCACTTCAAAGAAAACTCAATTAAACTGATTATAAATGAATTCATGGCACTCTTTCTCATTGGAGCTCCTATGGCATTTTGTTCATAGCTCCTTCAGAGGGCTTTACTGTACTATATTTACTGTGTATGATATGGTCTGTCTAGCTACAAGATTGTGAACTTCATAATACTAATAGCTAACATATTGAGCAGTGACTACACTGTGCTAAGCCAGGACTATGCTAAGCATTTTTTATGCAGTAACTTCCAACAGCCCTATAGGAAGGTAATATTACTACTATACTGTTTCACACATGGAGAAATTGAGTGCAGGCTGGTAAAGTAACTCCTGCGAGATCACACAGCTAGGAAATGGTAGAACCAGGATTCAAAGGGAGAAGTCCGCATTCTCAAGTGCAACCTCAGACCACTTCTGTGAGGATTGGAGGGCTTGTTTTGTTCATCCTCATATTTCCAGTCTCCAATGTTGTGCTGATACATGATAA